GTTTCTCACTTTCCTGTATCACCTGGGGAGAAGGAATGAGAGGGTAAAAAGCAGTAGAGCTTTGCTACAATAACCTTTTATTTCCAGCAGTAGTCCTGGCTCTCCAAGCTTCACACGCATGCATGCACACATGCATCCTTTCTTCGTAAGCTGGGCTGGGGCTCAGGAGATTTGGATCCAGTCCCTGACTCTGTGTGACCTTGGATAAATCACTTAAGGTTGTGCATCACTACATGTCTGAACAATGACTAGAATTATGGGAGCCAAACTCAGATGGGAACTCCAGGTATTGCTATACAGGCAGTCCTTGGACTTACGACACAATTGGTTCCTGAAAACCGCATCTGAAGTAAAAAATCATTGTAACTTGGAACTGATTTTCCCATAGGAAATAATGTTATAAATGGGGGATTGTTTCCTGAACCAAGGCCTGATACCCTATTTTCACCAAAAATAACCCAGAATTTTGTATTCAATCAATTATAGATGAGTCATATAGCTACATTAATGTATTTATATTGTAAATAGCAATCATATTGATTTGGAAGGACTTCTCTGAAGTGACTTTGCTGGACTTTTTGAAGGGCTCCTGGTTGGACTTTTTGAAGGGTTCTTGGCTGGAGTCTTCTTAGGAGTCTTGGCTGCAAGTTTTTCTGGAGTCTTGTCTGCTTTCTTAAAGAAAGTGTCCAAGGAAGTTTGGACAGATGTTCTCCAGGGAGATGGGCAATGCAATGAACTTGCTTGCTAGTGTGGTGTGTCATCAGATCAAGCGTTGTAAAGTCAAAACTGAGTCAGAAAGTTGAAACAGGGTGTCAATTTATAAACCTTGTAAGTGTGGAATGTTGTAACTCTAAACGTTGTAAATCAAGGACTGCCCGTAATGAAAATAGTAAGTAACAAAATCTTCTAGTTGTCCTTTGTTCAGAAGTAAACTGCTCTGAAGCCCATGTTCTGCCTCTATATGCTTGCCTCGGCTGAGGATCTGATAGGAGAAAAAACAAATCTTGGTCAAAATTCTGTCCTGATTTATTTTCTGTGTAATTTTGCAGAAGTCACAAGGGCTGCCCAGCGTGTTAAGCCTTGGCAATTCTGAATAGTGAGTATTTAGCCTGGAATTCCTGTGCCATGGTTCACTGTTCTGCAACAGGGTCTTTGTCTAATAAGCTACTGTCCACTGCCTAGACAGAACCGGCTTTGATGTTCAACAGAATTTTGCAAGATCAGGATGAAAACTTAGGCCATTCATAGACTAAAAACATTTTCTATTATATTTTCACAGGAGATTGTCTAATGAAAGAGGGTGCTTGTACATGTGACAGTCATCACAATGTATGCGAGATGAAAATGTCATGTGTGTGGCTTAATGGTGTCACACATTACACATGTGCTAGTTTTGGGGGTTTTAGATGAGTTTACATCATTGCAAACTAAACTATATTGGCATGTAGTTTAGTTTGCAACATTATAAATTGCAACAATGCAGCTGTCAGCTCACCCCACCCCTGCCTCCAACCGTGGGAGAGGTGGGTAGGCTCCACAGAATAAAAGGATTGGGGCCCTTGCTGCTTCTGCCTTCAGCAGGCTCCTGAAGCTGACAGCATGCCTGGGACTGCTCGGGAACAGAATGGCTTGCCCTTGGGGCAGTGTGGGAAGGTGGCAGGAGGGTGACTGGGTATGCTGGCAGCTGGAGAAGGCAGCGGGGACAATGCATCAGGTGCTGGAAGCCTGGGTTGGCTAGGGGAAGCATTAGATCTGGTGCCTTCAAGCTGGGGCAGTATACAGCCAGCTAGCAGCCCACCTGGGCAGCCCCAGGGGGTGCCTCTGCCATAGAGGAAAGAACTGGGACTCCCCCACAGCTCAGGACCATTTGGCCCACCAGAAGCTCACCCCCCAGGCAGCATCCAGCCTGCTAGCAGCCCATTTGAGCAGCCCTAAGGGTGCTGCCACTATGGAGGGATGAACTGGGGCCCCCCGCAGCTCAGAGGCCATTTGGCCCACCAGCAGGTCATCCCTCAGCTGTTGGCAGGCTCTGACTTCAAGAAAAAACAAACAAAAAAAAAGGATTGGGTCCCTTGCTATAATGTGACAGAAAAATTGAAATGCTGGTTGTCAATTAAAAACCCACCATTTCAATTTAGGAAGCATAGAATAAAACCCTGAGGGCTAAGCCTCCATTGGGCATACAGCCACCCAGAAATCCAAGCTAGTACCTAAGCTTGCAGACCTGCACTTAAATTTTTCAGGCCATTCAACTAGATTGATCAGTTTACTTTAGTCAGGACACATCTACACGAGATGTTTACTGTGCAGTGGACTAACTAACTGGAGTAAATTCATTTACTCCACAGCAGGATAGTACTTGCAAATACAAGTACTATCCTGCTGCAAAGTAAATTAGTTTACTACTACCCTGCTGCAGAGTAAAAAACTCCATGGCAGCGCAGGTGTAGCTGCTGCCTAACTAGCTAGGGCACAAGGATGCTTCAGTGTGGTAGCTGCCTGCCAGTTAGCCACCATACCGAAGCTCCCTTGTGCTCCAGCCAGCCTCTCCACAGCACATTGAATCAGGGGGAGCGGCTGCAGGCTGGCAGGCTAACCCTCCGGGTCCCCTGCCAGCCAGGGCTGCTCTGCCTGGGTTCCACATGCTGTGCCTGAATAAACTGAGGTGCTTATTGCTCTGAAGTTAATTGCTCCCAGATGCATGTTCAAATGGCATGCCTGGGAGCAATTAACTTCAGAGCAATAAGCTTCAGGTTAAAGGAAGCACCCCAAGATGTTGCAGTGGGTCAAGTGCCCTCAAGGTCTACAAGGCCTGTGTACCCCAGGGGGCACAGGGCCCAATCAATGACCAGACCCCCAGTGGTGGTGGTAGTGGTTACCCCAGGCTTGTGGGAAAGGGGTTGGCCAGTTATAGGCGCCCCAGGGGAGACACTCAGAGCTTGGTTTTTGGTCAAGTGCAGTGAGGTGGGTGGCTCAGTGCAGGAGCGCCCCCTACTGGCCCACCACACATCTTACTTGCTAAAAGACACTTGGCTTCTTCTTGATCTTCTCATAAAAAAGCAACACTTCTGATACATCTACACCTGATATTGTTTGGCATGTCCCAAAGTGTTTGTCTCTAGTAGAAGAGGGAAAAACAAGGATGTGAGAGGTTTCTTATTACAAGGCTAGCTTTTGAAGCATCTTAACACTCCCTGGATGTGCAAGGAATACACCTTTTAGAAGCATTACTTTAATTCCAGTTACTGTAGTTATATTCTTACTCCCATGCCAGTTGACTGACATCCTGTACTTGCGACCCAGGGGCAGGCAATTATTTCAGGTGGAGGGTCACTTAACGAGTTTTGGTGAGCTGTCGAGGGCCACATGGGTAGCCCCGCCCCTTGGCAGTTGCTCTGCACCCTGGTTGCCATCTTGGGACCAGAAGTCCCACCCCCTAACCCCTGACCTTTGCCACCCAAAGTCCCTCCCTTTGCCGCCCCCCCGAAATACTACTTTTGAGAGCTGGGGTTGCCATCTTAGAACCAGAAAAAAAATCATACACTAAATGCCAAACAGCTACTAAAACATATCTTAATTTTATTATGAAAAATATGTTTGTCATGATTTGTGTTTGTGTACAGAGGATCAGACCCCTCTGTTATTTGCTCTCTGACTTTAGAACCCATTGCCAGTATTTCTGATCAAGAGAAACCTCATCCTCTTCTCCTCTTGTAACTATGACTCTGAAAAAAAGCCTCACACTGCTTGCTGCCATACAGAACACAAAATGTGGACAATTTGCCCCAGAAAGCATCCAAACTAAACACTAGAAACAATGAAGACAGGATTTAGCAGGAAACCCAGAGGACGAGTATTGATAATTATTGTTAATAATAAGGCTAGTGACTTGCTTCTCAAGGGCACCAGCCAAGGGCAAATCTGTTTTCAGCAAGTGGAAGAGCCAGTGACTCATTTTGCTGAGCAAGAAGCAAGTCAGTGTCTCTTGATGTCCCCTACAGTTACTGGTTCATCATTGTCTTTACTGTCTCACCTTCTCTTAGTATGCCATTCACTTCTTGCTCACTTAAAGTAAGGGGAAGCTGGGATATATTTGGTAGCCATGTTGGTCTGAGACAAAAAGAAATGCAAAACTCTAGAACTGGTGTTTCAAAGATTATACCTTTTATTAGACCAACTAATAAATCACAAAAAAAAAAATCTTTTTCCACAAGCTTTTGGGCATACACACCTTCCCTCAGTCTCGGGGAAAATTAAAGATGGCAAAAAGTCCCCATAGGTAGAAATTAAACTTCGTTTTTGCACAGAGGAAGCTGAAAGTGGAAGTTCATATGAGTGTCTTAGTGAGTTGTTCTTCCATGTTTAGTTAAGGCAGGATTCCTTCCCTGGTGGTGTCAGATGGCAGAAAGGCAGGGAGGTATAGAAGACTTTCAGTATTGCCCAAAGACATAATTTCTCTTTAGGATTCAGTGGGTTTCAGTTTTTTTTCTAACCACCTTCAGCTTTTTTTGCCAGTCTTAACTATAAACACATGGGGAGCATCAGGATTCTTGAAAGGGCCATGATTCAAAAAAGAATATAAAATGTGAGCAGGGGACTTGATTTTGTCCCACAGAGCAATTTAGCAGCATTCAACTTAGAAAGCATTGCATGTTCCTTTAAACAGGAAAAAAACCTATTCAAAACAAATACAAAAATAACCTACGAGATATATTGTAGGATTGTCAGTTAACTTAATGGAGTGTGGAGTTTATCAAAACCTTCTTAACCTAGATCATATGTATCGTGATCGCGAGGATATCTGAGTGGTGATCCTGACTCTCTCTTGCCACATCTTGATGTTGGAAGAAGATTTCTATCATGAGGAGTTAAATTTAAACACCACTCAATATTGGGATCTAGGGTCAATTTCTCCTGTGGCCCCAACCTCCCACGCAACCCAGCTTAGTGCCTCTCAGAAAATTTGGTCAACTATCATTGAACTGAAACTCGCAATGAAATTTCTTTTCAATAATTAGCTTTTATTTATTAACTTTCTTTTCTTTGTATTTTCAGTTCTCTCTTGTCTAGTCAACGCTCGTATTGATGATCGTCATGGAGGACTGCCAGCCAGCCTAGTCTGGCTCAGGCAAATCTAGCATCCAGTCTCTTTAGTGCTAATTCATTCTTTCTTATAACTGAAGGAGTAAAATAATTCAATCCAAATGAAGCGACACAGAACCTTTCCAGGCTACAACCTCTAACTTTTTATTCTTCTTGAGACATACAGGTTCAATAAACAGGCACAGTACATTGACTATTCTTACAGACAACTTTGCCAGCTTGCTTGGACACTAACACTGACGCGTCGCATCCTCAAATAGAAACAAAAGGAAAAAACTTTTACTTGGATCTGTAGGTGCTCTGCTGCCCTCTCCCGGCTACCCCTACTCCTCTGGTCCGTAGTTTCTTCGTTAGCACCACATGCCTGACAGTGCTTTCCCCAGCCAGTGTCTCCCGGCTTACTGTAGATCCTCAGAACTCTTTAGCCAGCTGACTGCTGAGTCACAGCTGCTATCACCTTCCAGCCCATCCTCTTGGGCTCTGAGATGCATGGCTCCTCTCCCTCCTTCTTCCAGGTCCTCTCTGTTCTCCCCCTCCTTCCAGGGCTGCTGTACCTGTACGGAGCAACTCCTCCAGAACCGCAGCTCCCGGGGAGCTCTTCTTTCCTTTGCTGGCTCCTGCAGGCACTCTGTAAGTATCACTATGTTCTCATCTTGTCTATGATGTGTATATATACACACCTATGAGATTCATCACAAATTTATTTTTAGAAACATATTAAGGCTCAGAGTTCAGTTGCTCAAATCCAAATGAAATTCAAGAGAAGCTGAGCATTAGGATCCCTCAAGTACCTATACTACATGAGCACTTATTATGTAACTATAAATCTATTATATACATGTGCATATTATCACCACTGCAATGGACCGTTCAAGGAAAAAGTCATTTCTCCAGTAACAAATTACACTGAGTCAGGCCTTGCCTCTGTATTTCTTCCAATCCTTTTTTGTTAGTTCAGCATCTCCTTACCAACATCCTCTCTGCACGTCAGGTGCATTATTGGAGGAGGAGATTCCAGATGGAATCCCAAAACATGAACAAAGTCAAATAAGAGGCAGTAAAAATAAAAGACAAGATACAAAGAGACACCCTCAAATAGGAGCCATGACAGAAAAGTAGTGCAAGAAAGACCTGAAGAATGTTTCTTTTTTTAAAGCCCAATATTTATGATAAGCCAAATTTTTCATAATTCTCCAAGGCAGTCAGGAATTTCTCCCGCAGGATCTCTTCACTGCTGTAATTTGGAAGGCCCAAAATCTGGGAGCAGGTATTGGCCATAGGATAGTATTCATCTGGGTCTTCTTTTTGAAGTTTTTCAATTTTCAATATCAAGTACTCCATCCCTTCAGCAGGAATTCGATCGGTTCCTGTCAGAAAAACTGCAGAGGGGAAGAGAAGAAAACAGTCAGCAGGATACAGATAGAAAGCTTACTGAGATCACATCACAGGAAGGACTCAGACTTTTAGAGGCACTAATTTATGCTGCTTGTTTGTTCTTGGGTATACCAGCTGGAATACTTTGAATCCTGCTACCTACTGACTACGGGCTTAATCCTACAACCCAGCGTGGTGTGGACATGTGTAAAATTGAACCATTCCAAGAATGCCACTAATTGGGTATCACTTCCCAACTGTTGTGATTCAGAGGTGTCCGTATGTACACTGCCAAGGGTTCCAAGTAGGACAATCACTTTTCAGGCATTGCAGTGCTGCTGAATCCTCATGGCAGGATGGGAGTGAGGCACTGCCTCACAGTGGCAAGTGCCCAAAATTTCCCCATGACTGCTGGATGAGGGAAAACTGAGTCACTTCGCAATGGGCACTTATTACCACAGAATGGCTCTCAATTCCATACTCAGCCAGTGTGCATTGGCCCATTAATTGTTAAATGTTTCTTGCCCAGAAATAGGGGCACTCCACCCACCTGAGCAGTGAGCATTACTAGAGCAGCCAGTTGCTATGTGAGAGTTGGGGTAGGGGCTAGGGGGACTGAGAAATGTTGCAGTATGGGATGCCTGGAGGACTGACCAGACACTAGTCAGTCATTTATACACATGCCCCAGGAGTGGCAGCATGGGGGGGACACACTTTAATTACAGTGGATCTTAGAGCCACTCTAACTGAAGTGACTAGAGCAGTGGTTCCCAACACAGTGCCCACGGGCACCATGGCACCCCCTCTTCCCTCCTCTGAGGTTTATTCAGGTGCCTGCATGCATTCTCAGGATCAGTAAAAATCAATATTCCAAAAAAAAAAAAAATAAAATAAAAAAAAAAAAAAAAAAATTTTAAAAAAATGCCATCACTGCCAGTTGAACTCAGGCTGTACACAATGACCACCAAAATGAGACTGAGCCTGACTGATGTGGGCAGCTGCGACTTGAACTACAACTCCTATAATACACCATGGCAGCTCAGGCAAACAGAGGTTGGTATTATGCTGCCCTGAAACAAAACAATTCAATTAACTGTGGAGGAAAAATAAACCCTCAAAGTAGTTCAGTTTCTGCCATGTGACCAAAATCAAAATATTCTCCTCAGATTTTCTTTAAAATGTTGGCAAAACTGATACTGTTCCCATGAAAAATTGAATTTGGTATTGAAAATCTAAAACATCTTAGTTTAAAATATTAGAACAGCTCTATTAATTAGCCACCTAAGTAAGCCAAAGTCAGAGCTGGGAAGAAGGCATGTCTCTGGATTGCCAAACCTCTTCTTTGACCACACTCCCAAATTATTTCCAGCAGAAACACCAGGCTACTTATTAATGTGGAACCAGTTCCACCAGCGGGGAGTCCAGCTTTATAGCAGACTAGTTATTGGGCTTGCACTAATAAAGGATAACATGGGCAGTTCTGTTTATTCAGATGAACTAAATACTCTTAAAAGGCAATAGCTGTGAAGCTAATCAAATGCCTTCTACCTCACCTTCATGCTGATTCATGATCCATTACATGCACAGGCTCTAGATTGGTCTGAGACCAAATAAAGCTAGGCTGCATAATATAACCATAACAGTAAGTCAGAAGCCCTGGGGCAACCTCCAAGACAGAGGCCTGGAAGAACAGAACTAAGTTTGCCCCATGGTCCTTTGTGCCTGCTGATACAAGGCAGGGATGGCTCTGGCATGGAAATGGTGATAGTACAGGCAAAGAAAAAGTGAAGGCAGACTTATTTTCCAAATGAAATAATTCAAAACATGTTTTTTTTAAATACAGAGCTAACTACTCCGAGCACTACTTAAAGTGACTCTTTTCTTACCAAGAAAATTCTTCTTCTTTTCTTCTGGGAGTTCATGAAAAACAGCCCAAAAGTTTTTGATGGTTTGATCTGTCTTTTCATAATTTATGTAGTTTGCATTCTGTACGAGAGAATAAAAATAGACTGGCCAGTTAATCCTCCAAGATCTCTTGATTTTTATAAAACAATAATTTATGCAGCAAATACATAAAATAATCCTGTGGCTACAGGTTGAGATCTGCCCTAGTTTCTTTAAGGTGGGATCTGCTTGTCTGTTCTTTATGGACTGTGTAATAAACCTGAGCTGCTTATTCATTTCCTGCTTCTCTTTATTCAGGCCTTCCCTCACTGACTTTAAGGAAAATCTTGCTTAAGTGAAAAGTAAATGAAATTAAAAAGCTCAGTTCTGATCTCAACAATACAGCTATAAATTCAGAACAATACCCTTTAGCCCAGTTCCTATCTATGTGGCATGGAGTACAACCTGGGTTCAAAGGACTACCAAAATCAAAAGGTAGTGTTATACATATCTATTAATTCTCTCAGAAATGGTGCAGCTCTGAGAATGATTGTTCTTGTAAGGTCTAATGACCCTGGTCAAGGGGGTGCTAGGTGCTGTACATATTTAGTAAGCAAAGGCCCTCCCTCTTGTACTCTCTAGTCTAACTGGGAGTGCCAGAAAGTGTGGTATGGACTATATTCTGCAGCATGCATTTCCTGACCATTTTGTTTCTTTGGGTATAGAGAATGTTAAAATAAGAAAGCACCATAATCTGATAGGACTTCAGGGAATACCATCAACCACTTTAGGCCCCAAATGACTAGTAACTACTTTAATCAAAAACGGTTTCAGACTAGTGACCCAAAGTGAAAATCTCTATCTGCCCTCAAGTCAGCTATTTTTTCATTCATGAACATAAACTCAAAAAAGGAACAAGGCACAGGAAATGTATGTCCAGCTAATTGAGCAGCTACATATCTGCCTGGCTGAGTTACCTTTTCCAGCAGCTGCCAGTCGTATTTGGTATGTCCACGGAAAACGGTCTGGAGTTCAGTGGGAAGAAAGATTCTCCAACTGTTGGCTGGGCAGCCTCTTAAAAATCCATCCATGAAATCCTTAAATGGCTTCTTCACGGATTCATTGAATATGTAATTCACATAGGCATCAACATATTCTTTCCTGAAAAGGTATAGATGCAGTGCTATCGCTTTCTAGCTTTTAGTGAAGCAGTGTGAGAGGTGATTTGAGAGGGAAAATGTATACTATTTAACTTTTCAATCCTGCAAATCCTTTGCATGTAACTAGTTATCACACTGGGTAGGGACAGACATTAAAAAAGCCCAAGCCTGAATTGATTCAATCTTTGCATGTTAGTCTAATCTGGCTAGGCTAAACCAGTTTGTAACTGTGCAGATTTCCCCTCTGGACTGATGAAATGCAGGCACATGCCAACAGTGGCTAAGGCTAGAAGCCTTCCACAGTGCTGAGATGAGGGATACATGGCCAGGCTCTGGCAGGATGCTCTGATTAGGGAGGGGGTCCCCCCACCCCTGCTGTTGATAACAGAGGATTGAGTTACATAGCCGGGAGTTACACAGGGAGTTGTTAGCATTTGTCAGCCCATCAAACAAAACAACAGTTCATTAAAACAACCCTCATTAGTTCAAGCTCTTCTAAAACAACTTTTTCAAAGGAAGGAATGGAGGGTCATTACCAGCTACCTGTTAATTAGCTCCAAAAAGCCCTAAGCCAACCCTGTCCTGTCTGCCTTTGTCATCAT